CTCACCCTGCCCTGGCACAACTTGAGGCCGCTGCCCCTCGTCCCATCGCCCGTGCCCTGGGAGCAAGGAGGCCCCCCCACGGGGGCCCCTCCCTCAGGCTTCGCAGGTTTGCTGGCCACCGCGCGCTAGCCCTCCCCGCGGGTCGGGGCGCAGGGGAGCTGGGCCGTGGTCAGGCCCCATGGGGCCGGCCGTGTCCCCCACGGCAGAAAAGGAGGGTGAATCCCCACGGTCACGGTGATTTACTGAGCCTCGGTTAACGACGTTCAGATAAACTGCAATACTGATAGGCTACGGTAAAGCGTTTCCAAAGCAGTATTTTGCATGGCCATGATTTTAATACTAATTATATAGAGAAATAAAAAACCCCCACCCAAACAGTAGCCCGTGGGCAAAATAAGTTTTTCTCGCTGCTGTTTGCAAATAGCAGAGCAACCGCGCTTTTCCACAACAGGAACACACGAGCTATCAACTGTGATAGCGGCAGCGGTTGCCGTGCCCGATGTGTTCCCCAGACTCGGAAGCACGAACGCCGTTTCCTACATCAAGAGCAGCCCTGGTATGCTGGTGTAACCGCCGCTGGCTCCGCTCCTGCGTTCCCCGCTTTGGCACGGTGACCTCCCGAACCAGGGACTGCGTGGTTGGAGCAGGCTGCACGGACGCCAGGTCGGCTTGGGGAAGTAGCACGGTCCCTTCAACCCCAGTGCAAGAGGTGGGGGGTTCAGCACGTGCTTCAGAGGCGAGATTTAGAAACACAGGTATTAAGTGAAGCTACGGCTTTCCCGTGATTCGTTCACCTCATTCTTCAGCAGAGCATGCTGACAGCATAGCTCCTACTCTCGTCTTTTGAAATCCAGATTTCAAAAAATCTCAGCATGTTTGTCTCTAGGCACGAGAGGGCAGCATTTTGTGTAGCTTAGCGTTGAACCTTGCGAAGAGCTGAAGTCCTTTTACAACGAGGTGGTGGAGGAGTCTGCGCTTTGAACAGCAGAAGCAATGGAAGTGGCAAACCCATTTACGTGCAAGTCTGCTCTTGCTGGCGGCGTCCTGCAGGCATGGCTTCCAGGCCTTGCGGGGTCAAGCGAGGCCACCAGGTCGCATGCGCAGAAGTTTGAAAGTGCCGTCCAACAAAACTGAAGTGCAGGGAAGAATACTCTTCTCCCTGACGCCAGCAAGATGCTTAAGGTGCACGTCCAGAGAGGGGCACTGCGGTGAGCCTAGGGATGCACAGGAGGGCTTGGACTGGCGACATTTTAAGTCTTATTGTGGAAGCTTGGCATATTTTGAAAGCTGCTTTAGATTAACAATTTGAGCACTTTCCTCATTATTGTTTTTTCCATGAGCAGATTCTGAACAGCATAATATCTTTGAAACATGAATTTATTTTCCTTGCGGAGATGAAAGAGAAGTCACTCTGTGGGAAAATGAATGAGGTTAAACATTGGTTGCACTCATGAATCATATTCTTCAGAAATTCCTGGGGTTTAGGAAAGCCCCAGCAAAGCTGAGGTCCAAAACCAAGGTCTGTGCCGCTAATCTGCCCAGATTGTCTGACTCAGATCGGACACTTTCCTTTTCCCAACAGCCATTTATTTTGTCTCCGCATGTGGCAAATGCAACCCGCTCCTTTTTACAATTTTGAAGAAAGAGTTGAGTAAGAAACTGAGCCAATTAAATGATAATTTAATAAAAATACCTGGGATCTATCAACTTCATAGACAACAGGACCTGCAGAAAAAGGGAAATGCGGGCTTTGTGACACTTTGGGGCTGGCTGAGGCAGCCCAGCCGCTGACGAAAGCCCAGGAGCGTGAGTTGCTGTGGCCGATCAGAAAGCAAGTGTCGTCTGGTGCACCTTCCTAGTGAGGCATTACAGGAGCCTGCACCCGAAACAGAGCCTGGCTGCAGCCGTTAGCCAAACGTAGATCTAGGCAGATCTGGTTTCAAGTTTCTCTGAAAAACCTTTAAAGATGAAGCTGAAAGTTTCTGAGTGCCCCCTTCTATTGAGACGTTTACCTCATGCAGTTGTCCCACACTTAGGGTATTTTAAGATGGCTGTTGATGTGACAAACTGCAAAATCACAGCAAAGTCACATAGAATCATAGACTGCTTTGGGTTCGAAAGGACCTTTACAGCTGATACGGTCCATCCCCATCCTCTGGGAAACTCCTATGACCAGCACAGGGGCTCTTGAGTTCTGAAGTTTATGCGTGGTGTTTTCCAAGCTATTTATTTCCTCTAGTTTCCACACCTGCACAGCGAAAGGATGCACTCTCCACAGAAGCCTTTTATTGTCATTACTAAGATCATTACCTGTGAAAGCAGTTTAAACATGAAGTAACAGGCATCCGTCGCATCGGCTGTGAGTTATGGTCTGCGTTTAGGGGACCAACAGGAGACAAAAGGAGATCTAGTGCTCTAGAGAAACACGGTGAACTCAGACACTCTGGAAGTTGTGGGGAGATAACAGAAAACCACACGGTATTTTCAATACCCCTTTTTTTTTTGTAGTGTTGATGAAACAGAGATAGCAATGTCAGAGGAGCTGCCCAAACAACAGCAGAAATAATCATCAAAGCTATGGTTAGGACACAAACATACCTGTGGCTGTGGCTTGTGTCCACAGCCCGTGCGACCCTGCCTGTTCATGAGATTGTGTCCGTATTTTCAACAGGTTAGGTGAAACAACACCCAGGAGAGAAAATAATTGCACAGCAGTGCACCCTTTAATGACTAAGTACAACCTTTATTGTAGAAACACCAATAATAGCAAAATAAAGAGCACATCTTACTTCCCACAGCAAAGTCATTTTTAGCAACCATCTATTAGAGCAAGCTAGAAGCGATCAGCAAAACCCTCTCGGTGCACTCCGGAAGCGAATCTGCACGTCCCGTCCTCCTTCAGCCAGAACCTACAGCTGCTTTTCCATTTGGACTTTGTCCACCAGAGAGCAAAGAGGACTGGAAGAAATTAAATCTTGCTTTATAAACAACTTGGCAATTTGGCTAAGTATGAGATCATCATACTCATGGGATGCCCTTGTGTCTACCCTGGGTGTGCAAGAGACGTGGCCGGGGGCGAGCGGCAGCAGAGGGAGCATCAGGGAGCTGTAGGGATGTGCTCACCTCCTACCTTCCGCGGGTGGCCCCGCTGTATCCTGGCCAGCACGTGCTTGCAAGCACGTTAAGCACAGCTTACCTGATGGGTTGCATCATGTCATCACGGTCATTACCTCCTGGCTCAGGGGTGGGTTGAGCTGAGTCCGCGGTGGGGGGGAAGCGAGCCGGGGCTGCTGAGGCCGACGCTGCTGGTCACGCTCAGAGCCAGCTGCAGCCTTGTCCTCCCCACAGCAACTGGGCTCTTCTCTCGCTGGGTACGTGGCCTCATGCTGCCTATACAAAGGGGTTTGGCACCCAGAATTTTAGGGCAGGTCGGTTGGTAAACCCCTGTCCCAAGCAGTGAGCAGACTGCTGAGCAGTCGGACTATGGCAAAGAGGGGCCCTGGAGGGGAAGCAATCTGCCAGGCTTGGGAAACACTGTTTTCGTTTACATCCATGCCGACGGGAAACAAAGCAGCTGTGCGCTGCTGCCCACGTTACCATTGTTATGGCCCACCTAGCGTGCAACCTGTTGATCATAAGAGGCTCTTCTTTGTGTGGTGCTCCTTTAGGCGCTTTTTGCTCAAAACGTTTCCTCTGACAAGACATTTAAAAAAGAAAGGCTGGCAGCCAAGACCAATTACACCTACAGAGCCTTGCCCCTGGGAGGAGGACCTCAAAGCAACGGCATTAGATAAAGAAGTGCCAGCCAAATAGCTACCTTAATTCTGGCAGAAAATAAATACAGGCATCAGCTTCAAAAGCTGCATGTGGCAACTCAGGGAGCAGCTGGGCTGTCTTAATTCTAACTCAGCATTAAATGCAGAGGCCCCGCGCCCTGCTACGCTGGCATGCTAACACGCATCCCTGCCGCGGGCCGTCCGTGTGCTTTGTGGGCAGGGAAGGAGGTGATGGCCTGCGGGCTGGGCTGCAGGTGGGAAAAGGTCGCACATTAGGGGCTGGGATCTCCCGATGCAGTAAGGAACTCTCCAGTGGATCCTCTACTACTGTAACCTACTAACTCCATCGCATTCAGCCTGCTGCACGTTGGCAGCGCTTCATGGGACCCTCCAGCTGCTTCACTGGTTTGTACCACGTGCGCCTCGCCTCTGCCCATCAGCGCAAGCCCAGAGTATTGTTCATGTAGGAAGGGCAGTATGCAGCTTCAGAAAAAGTAATAGCAATAAAAAAGGCATAAGAACAAATCGGGTACACCTGAGTCCAAACATCGTTCAATACCGACAGTTTGATTCACTACTAAGAAAAAAGGGGTGGGGGGGAAACATCAACTTTGCATCATCAGCAAAAATGCCAGCGGGTGTCACAAGATTAAACACAGCATTATCAGCCATTACAAACAGTTTTCTCCCCTCATGTTGATATCAAATGCTAAAAGACTGAATATCAACATAAAGAGATTTTTCACTACCGAACACAACAAGAAAATGCTATATCCGTATCAAGAGAAGCTACAAACCGTACAGATCAGGCAGCCCAACGAACGTGTGAAATGGGGCTTGGGTTTCAATGGGGAAGGTGGCGGTCGATCGCCAGTCAGCACAGCCTAGGGCTGGACCATGTGTGGGGCTGGGCGTTTTGGGCAGCATTTGTTGTGAAAATGTCCACGTGTGACAGCTCGGCACGGTAACATCCCGACCGCGTACTTAGGCTCATTTTCGAATGGATGCACCTCCATACGTTTACCTTTCCTGCTGGACACCTCATCAATTCTCTTGTTTTAAAAAGATGTGATTGCTTTAATCAAGTTTAAAAATCTGCTTTCTGAAGAACAGATTAATTGTATTAACTAACTCCGAGAACTAGAGGGGTTTTATTAATCCCAGGGCCCGAACGATGCCACTGGGTTGAGTGGGCTGCTTGTCCACCAGCCGGGGGGGAGGAGAACGGGCGAAAGTAAGCTAGATAAAGTTTGCTATGTGATATTAACAGTGCTGGAGCCTTTCACAAAATAACAATCGGAACACCCAAATGTCAGTTTGGGTACTCAGCTGGATGCAGTGCAAATCACTGCACCTGTATTAAAGGTTTGAAGGTTTGGTGCGCTCTTTTCTGCGCTATTTCACCATCTGATCTTACTCAGCTGCCTCCCTTGCTCGCAGGTGGTTCCGACTTATCATAGAATCATTTAGGTTGGAAAAGACCTTTAAGATCATCAAGTCCAACCAACTTCCCTCTCATGTTGCTCTGAGCACAAAAGTGCTTCAAAATTGTCTTTCCCTTTCTCAGTTATTGGTTCATTCAGACTCAGTTACTTCCACAGCTACGCGTTATGCCGATTGTGGAACAGTATGGCCATGTTTCTGCTTGACGCAGACCAGCATCTTCTAGTAATTCACGGAATGGAAGGATTTCTTTTCTTTTGTGATTTAAATAAGTAAACTTTCAATGGTTAAATACTAGAAAAATATCAAAACTATTTTAAAAATACTTAAGGGAAATTAAACTCACAAGATACTATCTTGTTTTACCCATCAAAAATCCAGTGAGGTTCCATCACCATTAATAATTGCTCAGGTTTTGGGCCATTCTTAGTGGAAATTAAATTATCGCCCAGCATTTCTATTTTGTTTACAACCAGATTAAACTAACAACAAGGAATTTTTGCAGATGACTTTAGGCTCTCTTTCGTTTAATGGGTGCCATTCCACAGTCCTTTTCCAGGCAAAACTGCCATCTTTAGGAAACCTGATGGATTTTCTGGGGAATAGTGGTACTGCCCACTTTAAGCTATTTTTAGGCGTCTGACTTAGGTGGTCTGAATTGCCTCCTTTGTTGATAACATAAAGAATTTGGGCTCCTCACTTCGGTCCTCTGGACTACATCTAAATTAGATGCTAAGAATAGCCTAAAGGAGATGGCGTGAGTTCTTTCCTTTCCACCTTAAGGAAATCACTTCCAGAAATACTCATTGGCTTTAAACACATGGTGTCACCCCACTCGAAAATACCGCGTCAGGGCCATGAGGCTGCCAGGTAGAAGTTAAAAATCCTGTGACTTCTCTACTTGCTACACACATTTGGAAGTCCAAGGGCACCTCAGATACGTTCATATCCTCTATGCGGCTTTCTCCTGGAAATCAGGAACGTAGCAAATGCAATGACAAACAATCCCAGGATACTCAGGCCCACCACGATGGGAACTGCTCTGCTGTTTTTATCAGGAAAACATTCCTCTTCTGAAAGTAAAAGGAGATGGGAGAATGTGTTATAGCAGAACATGTAATCCTAGACTATACGTCTACATTCCAGAAAAGTTAGCAAATACAAGCCAGAAGCTCGCAAAGCCTAGTTTCCTCTTTTTTTCCCTTTCTTTTTCCTGAGCCATACTTAACACGTTGTTATCTGTGGTGAATCTTATCTCAAGGAAGCAATACCTGCCCCTTTCAAAACAGCTACATGCATGGCTGGAGAATGACTCTGCTTGTTGGCGGTAATTGCTTCACCATCAGGATCAGCGCGCACAGGGCAGGAGGCTTTCTTGCCAACAGCTGATGGGAGCATCACACTACAAAGTGCAAGGCTGAAAATAAAAGAGCAAGACCCCTCCTCATGGACAAAACTGGCTCTGGTGTGGCATCCAATTGCTTCTGCCCCATAAAAAGTATCAGGCCACAGAAGGGAGCCCATCATCCAGCACATCGGTAGCGCAGCAAGGGTCCTAGCTAAGTCACTGTGTCCTAAGAAAAATCCCATTCTAATTGTTCTCTGGTTTAATTCAGAACATTTGTGGATAATTGTGGCTCAGAACATCAAGAGATTAGGAAGGCAGAAGCCTTGGACTTAGCCCAGGGGGGTGCTTTAGCAGTACCATTGTAATTTTGTCGTACATACGATGATACCAGAAAAGGGTTTGACACAATAACTTCTAAGAACCATGTGCAGACACATTCACTCCAAACATACCTCTTAGCTACAGAGGGGGTAAATCCTGGCTTCCTCAGCCAGTCCCTACCCAAATGAATATTCAAGTCACCTTCTGATTAAATGAAACTTCTTTACTTAAAAATGAACTTCCAGACTGGGGTAAACTGGCAGCTTTCTTACCAAGAGACTGCACCATCTGGGTCACTGACATGACTGGAATATTTACCCAAGTAAGGATGGCAGGATCAGCCTCAAAGTCACAAGGCAACAAGTGTAGAAGGTCGGGGGATGATCACTAATGGTTATCCCAGAATCGGATCAGACCTACATCTCCCATCTGATCGATAGCAATGGTCTTTCCTCGGGTGCCAGGGAAAGACAGACCTCCAGCGTGGCATTCTGAGTAGCACCTGGGTAACGAACTGTCCTCCGAGCGGGGCAGTCAGATCAGCCAAACCCAGCGTACATCACGGCGCAGCAGCAAATCCCGTTCATACCCAAGATTTGAGAGCTCCAGCAGCCTCCACCTCTTTCATTCCCTGTGGCTATTCCCAGGCAGGTTTCGGTAGCACCCTAAGACAAAGGCCTGTGTTGTGGCTGCCTAATTCCGAGGACTCTGCTGGCCCAGGCTGCAGCTGAGCTTGGCCCCCTCCCCAGCGGGCGCCTCTACGCCAGCGGCGCGCAGCCCGCCCAGGGAGCACGCGGGGTGCGTGACGTCATGTCCCGGCTCCAGAGCTCTCCCCAAAGTCTGACCCCCTCCTCCTCTGGCTCAGGTGGTGATTTTGCACGACGCAATGCCCCAGAGCCAGAGGCACCAGCATAGATGCTGCCTTTGCAAGCCTGTGCCTGGCTACGGTAACCTGCTGCTGAGGAGGTGAGCTGAGAAGTGTTGCAGAAGCCAGAGATGCTTGAATTGGCCGAAACCGTTGTTTCTGGTGTGCTGAAGTGCAGTTCAGAAGGCACTGCACAGCCCTCCAGACTCAGACAGGCCGAGCTATCGATGTGACCTGCTGCAGCCTGCATGGAATCGTAAGGACCTTGAAACAAACGATCATTAGTGTTTTCTTTTTGTTCCCCTTTTAAAGATATGCAAATCAGGAACAACAGAAATGAAACTACCAGTCTGGAGGCTGGTGACGTGCGTGGAGCCATTCCTTCACTGGGGATTTTGCCTTTCAAACTCTGCATACAGAGCAGAGGTACGTACCGGTTTCATAACTATCTCATGGCCACCGGGGAATTCTCTCAGAGGTGGTAGCTGCTTTCTCAGCCCTTTGATTAAGAGCAGTTTATTAGTTAGTTTATTAATTAATTTTGTATAGGGCACTGATTAGCAGAGATTAGCCTGACCTTGGGGGGGAGGAGAGAGCCTTTCTAAGCTCTGTCTCCACTAGAGGTGAGGCCATACCGAAAGCCATATCTGAATTCATTCATTGTACAAATTCAGATGGGGATTTAGGGACCGGATGGGATCCTAGGGGCTGTTCAAGCTCAGTTTGTTTCTGTGAAAAAAATCTTCATGGGACTGAGATCATAGACTGGATTCTCATTGTGGCTTTTAAGAACTTAAATGAAAAGTATGTAAAAAAAAAAGGAAAAGTCCACATCATAACAAAGCCCCTGATGTTGTTTCCCATTATATTCCTTGTAGAGTAAGAAAGGCAGCCAAAATGTTGAGCTAACAAAAGAAGAATTGGTCAAACAGAGCCAAACTGAGTCAAAAGACAGATCTAAGGTAAAAAGAAGAGTGCGGGGGCAATATCTTGTAAACATGCAGACAGTCAAATATCAGGAGGACAGAATGTTTTCATAGTGCATGTGAAGGGTTGGAGAGCTGATCAGCCCACCTGCCCACCTGCGTGCTCCTACGGGAACAGCCTGAGAGGAAGTGACAGAAATGTGGAAGAGACCACTGGGTATCATCTAGCCCACCCCGCTGCTTTTTGTAGGATCTTTCACACATCTCGTAAGAAGTAAGGCCCATGAGAGGGCCCATACCGTAGGACACGGGAGTTTCCTGCTGCACCCAGCAGTGCTGGACCCCACACCCTGGCCAGGTCCTGGCTGCATCGCCGGGCAGAAAACAGGGGTGACAACATCTCGTCTCCCACGTGTGGGTGTAGGGAGGAGGTTGTGATGGGCCTCAGTACGTTCTCCCAGTGTGGGCAATCCGGGGACCAGGGAGGCAATACTGGTCTGTCTCTGCCTTTTACTAAGCTATACGGTTGTCTCTTTGTGGCTGTACTCAAGAAGAGGCAAACTGCAGAGATGAGCATCACATTTAATTCTGAAACTGGGGAGCATGCCCATGGTGCTCCTCCCCAGGCATGCATTTCATCACGGCTAGACACAGCCGCGACAAAAGCATCCTCATGCGTCCACAAATACCCCTCATTAGTTTTGCTGCTTCAGCTGCGGGACACCATGAGTGTCAAGAGCCTTTCAAAATAGCTGAAATCTGACTGTGTCAAGAACAGTGACCTGGAACTGAGCTGCACCATCAGGGGCTTGGGCAGCGCTATGGTGGTGAACCCAGCTGTGCTCGCTCCGGGAGGAAACGGGTGAAGCATGAAATGGTGGCTGCAGAATTGAACATTTTTAACAAGAAGGTGAAACAGAAGGTATTGAACATGGGAGGGAAAGATACTTTTCCATCTTCCATTATTAGTACGGAGTTGAAAATTACTCACAGTGTTAGCACTGGGTTGAAAATGACTCGGAAAAGGGCGAGAATACAGCAGTGGACAGGTTACAGTATTTAGGAGCTATTACAGAGCTGTGACTGTGCTAGAGGTGTAGTGGGACCCCTGCATGGGGATGGCCACAACCCAGCAGCAGGAGATACCTCGGGCTACCAGAATGCTGACACGGCGATCTCGGAAGGGTGGCAGAGGATCCTTTTCTGCTTACCTTTCCCAAACTGGTCACCAACAATATCGAATGCCTGCAGCTGCATATGAACAAAGAGTAGCTGGAAGTTCTTCTCTGAGCAAAAGGTTTGCTCGCTGGCACACTTATAGGAATCCCCCAGCTTTGTTGTAAACAGCTTCTCGTGTACGGCTGCATGGTAAAGCGTACCTGGAGGCCATAGGGAGAGAGAGACATGAGAATCCATACTAGCTCTGTCGGAACCAACATTTTTCTGAGGTAAAACACAGGATCCCTGGTGCTTTGGCAGAGCAGCAGTCACAGATGTGACTAAAGCGTGGGCACCTTCCCCATAATGCATGGGTTACATTTTTTCCATGTTTAAATGAGGCAACTCAGCTGAGCTTGGGTCTGAAAAAGCAGCTAAAATTTACATGCTTCTTCAAATTGTGTTTTAACGATCTGGGTCTGCAAGAGGGGGTTGGGATTCTCGCGGGAGCAGACAACTCTCTGAGGTCTCCAGCATGGCTGCTTCCAGACAGAACAGCGATACCAGCTCTAGCGGGGGGATTTGTCATATTCTGTCTGTGTTACTTTATGTATTAACTATGGTTTTAAACATATTTCAGTGTAACAGTACTTCACAGAAAATGTGGCTCAAGTTCAAAGCATGAAAAGATCTTGTAACGGGGGATGCATACCCTCCTTCCAGTTAAAGACCAAATCAGTCCGGTTAAAGACCAGTTCAAGATAAAATCATCCGCATCGCCAGCTCTGCGTCACAGTATCTCAGCCCCATCTGCCAGCATACCCCTGCTCCTCTTCAGCCCAAATCAGTGTGTGCTGGTACAGATAACCTGGTCATTTTTAGCTCAGCAGAAGATAGGGGCTTGCTCTCTGCAAAAGCACTGCTGGTGGGGAGCACAGCGCCTCTTGCCAGCACTGCTGTGGAGGACTCAAAGTATATTCGAGCATTTTAAAACTCATGATTAAGCCGATTAGTTTGAATTTGCTGCAGTTTGTGCTGAGCGATGCACAGGAAACCTCTGATCTTTCAGACCGAGACCAGCCCCAGCTGCCGTGTCCTCGGCATCAGCTCTTCCTTCCCTTCCATTCCCGCAGGTCAGAACAGGCACCACGTGCGTTAGTAGGACAGCTCGTCAGTGAGGAGAGGAACGAGGACACGCCGGGTCAAGCTCCTGACTGGCTTCTCTTTCTGCAGGGACAGCAGGCAATCCCCATACTCAGGGGAACAAGCCGAGAAGTGACATAATATAGTCGTTAACCTGTCACAGGTTGGATAGGTTAGGAAGAATTTGTGCCAAGTGAATGTCAGAGGCAATCTGAAGCCACGGCTCAAAATCTTCCCCGCTGACCCAGATGATGCTCTCCTAGCATGTCCCGGGAGGCAGCAGCCGGGGCAGCTCCTGCCCGCTCAAATGGCGAGAAGCAGGGCTATAGAAGAAAGAGAAAGTCTGGCCGCCGGAGAAGAGCACAGACAAGGTCTAGGATTTCAGGACAGCTTTAAGAACCTCAGCCTGCGTCCAGTTCTTATTTTTGCTGAACCAAAATGTCAGACGCCTGCTCTCCATATTGGTGTGTTTGGGAGCTGGGCCAAGCTCTGCACCTCCGTGATCCCGACACTGTATTGATCAGTTGGCCTATTAGATCGGCAAGGCGCATGCAACTGAACCGGAGTCACAGCACTTTTGTGTGCTTGCAGGTAAAAACTTTGAGGACTGGTCTGTACCTTAAATTTAGGTTGGACATAACCTCTACTCTGAAAGCGTAATGAAAGGCAGGGAAAGTTTTTGAGGACAAAAGGAAAATTGAACAATTGTGAAGAAACTGCAGCCCAGTCTCTTCTCTTGCATTTTCCATGCCATAAGATTTAGGTGAATGACATGTTGGAAGCCTGATAAAAGACATAATTTGCAAAATTTGGTGTTCTAAAGATAAGAAACCCTATCCCACAGCCAGAACAGTTTGATATGAAATTAGGACAATGTAAAATCACTGACCTTCAGAAGATAACTGTAAACTGCTCTCAATTTTACTGACATAGTACGTTGGAGCTTCCTGCAAAAGAAGAGATACCTTTGTTCATAATACATTGTCATATATGTGGGAAAATAAATAAGTGAATAAATACAGTTCACCACAGCAAAATGGTCACAAAGAATTTCCCAAAGAAACACATTCCAAAGAATCACCTTCGAGACCCAAGAACCAGCTTGCCTGGATGCATTGCCTTTTCTTCCCCAAACCACTCCGTCTGACAGGCGAGAAGCTGGCGTAGAGCAGCGATCTCCGCTTTGTCACCAGTTCTGCCCAGCTCAGTGACACTGGGCCGTGCAGGCGTGACTGCACCCACTGCTCCAAGTGGAGATTTGGGTGGTACTTGTGGTAACCAAAAGCAGGAGGGCATTAAGCAAATACTATACATTTCACAATACATTTCACAAGTTAACAGGCGTGTGATCAGGCCGACTTACTTTTATTCACCTGTTCTGCCTTCACTGAGAGTCCCCACAGCGCTCTCCTGGGTATCCTGCACCGAACCGCCCCGTGCTGCCTGCAGCACCCAGGCCAACACCTTGGGAGTCCTTGGGCCCGCCGGCACCGCGCTGCGCTCACGGAGATGCCCTTCCCGCGAGCAAGCTGTGCAGCCGTGCCGCTCTGCTCATCGCTGTTCGAACGGGGAGCGGTCACCCACAGGCTGGGAGCCGGGAGCTCACCTCATGCCGATGGCACGCGTTTCCCATTTTGTCTGCCAACAGCAGTCACTACAAATGAGGGAGCAGCAGGCTGAATGCAGCTGTGTAGGGGAGAAATAACTGTCCTTCCCATCCGGTGGCGCTGGCTGGCTTTCTCCATATGCTTACAGACTGGGAAGCACCCGGTACAGCAGCACAGACTGGGAAGCACCCGGTACAGCAGCACAGAGCAAAATTTCCAGCGGATCGTCCTGCCCACATGTGCCCTAAAACCCCAGTGCAACCTGAGCGCTGTCCTCCCAGGACCGTCACAAAGCCAGAGCCAGCCTAGGAGCTCTTTCCCAGCAGCGGTGTTGGGGTATAAGCCCTACTGCTCATTGCCATCCCAGTGGTGGGCACGCAGGGGCTGGTGAGTGCAGCTGGTGGGCAAATGGCAGCAGACAAGGGTTACCTCCTGCGCACCCACCTTTCATGCTGGGCAGTTTAAAAGTTGGTAGGATGGACTGGGAAAGTTTAAAAAAGCAATACACCAGAGAAGAGGTTCTCAGCATTATTCCTACTTAAAGACAGAAATAGGCCAAATAGTACCCTTTTTCTGGCAGCAGCGCTACGTTCTGTTTGGTCACGGTTAATAACCTAGCTCGGCGAAAACACCTGCCCCTACTTCACATCGTGTGGGTTGGTCACAAAACTTCCTTTCCTCAAGCCCTTTGCAAAAAGTGTCTGGCGGGGGTGAGAAGGGAGCCGGCCGCTCGCTGACCCAGCCCCTCTCTCAGGGGTGGCCACCAGAAGGGCCACCGCTGGGGCCCTCCTGGCCCAACGCTGTTGGAGAGGCTGCGGGGGCCAAACACGTAAAAAACAGCAGCAAAACCACTTCTTATTAACCTGGATTTCAAAGAAGTCAGCGCCGAGCCCTGCTGTGCTCTCGAGGCTTATCTCCAAGTGAAGGGCGGCTTGCCCAATGCCGTGCCAGTAAGTGCCCTTCTCGGGCCAGGGCAGGTCAAGCACCCCCTAAGGTTCACACCGCTCCTCAGCACTCCTGCGGGCCGGGGCGCTATGGGTGCTGGAGTCACCAGACTTTTCCCGAGGGTCCTTGTAACACAGAACATGCTCCCCATTGTGGGAAGCGTACGCGTAAAGCAAACACTCACGCTCTGAACTGAGCCTTTGTTTTAAAACAGCTCCTTGACTTTTTGCCTCACTTGCCCTCTGGAGCTTTTAGAAAACTTACTGCCGCAAACTAAAGCCAGGATGATTATTAACTGAAATCTTTTCTCTGCTCAAGCACTAATGACTCAGGAGTGGTGTAATTTGCTGTTGCCTCTTGGCCTTCCCATGGAACGCCTGATTAACCATTTGTACTTTTCTCAGCTGTCACTAATTTGAGCCTGGACCCAGGCTGCAGGGCTGACGCTGTGGGCACGGATCAGCAGCGACGGCCGGGTGCAGCTCTGAGCTGCTGCGGGGCATCGTGGCCGTAATGCACGCGCCAGCCAGCGTTTGATATTCCTCCCTGCCCATTAATGACTTTGTACACAGGATTAACTCCTGCCTTTGGCCCTGCTGCCATCACCCCCGAGCCCTTACTGGCTTTCAGGTAAATGGTACAGCCTGCAGCCTCCGAAAACGCATGAATGCCTGAGGAAGCAAGGGGGGGGGGGCTGCACACATCCTCCTCCTCCTCCCGTGGTTCCGACAGCGGCAGCACCCTTGGTAGCTTGTGTTAAAGCCTCAGCCACACACGAGGTGACCCAGTGCGGAACGCGGCACCAACAGACACGCCGCCAAAACGCAAGCTCACTTTCCCACTCCGTAAGCTGGGCCTCTCTCCTGCCCAAGTTCCTGTGCGTTCTTGTAAGTCTCCTGGTGCGGTGCATTTGAGGGCACTTATCTACAATTTTGTTGCCGTAGTCACTTGTCTGGAATTTTCCACTCAGAAAGTAGATGGAATAGGGCCCCTTCAGCTGGGGATGGGCCGGGGCTCCCGGGCACTTAGGACTGCATCGGCTCCCTCTGGATTTAACAAGCAGGGCTGGCTCCTGGCTGGGCGGCTGCGGTGCCCGGCGTTGGTGGGCAGCGGTGCCTAAGCTCGCCTGCGCTCGGGTGCTCCCTGGGACACCATTCCCTAAGAGCAACCGGAGCGTGTGTCGGAGCTGCCGGCCCGGCGCGGGACTGCGTCCCAAACCCACTCCCTCTGTCCCGCCCCAGCACACACAGCAGGGCTGGCCTCCCCTCCCGCTGCATGTGCCTATGTAAAAACGAGAGGCAGATTTTGTTTAAGGCTATTTCTCGACCCGGTGGTGCTCGACTGGTCTCTTAGTCCCTGTCCCCTAGCACTGTGTATCAAAGGACGGCAAGGCAATGACCTTACCCTTCAGTGCACGTAGGAACCTCTCCCAATTCAAAGTTCAGAGAGGCAAGACCTGATGTGACACTGAAGTGAGCCCCGCTCTGAGCAGGGGGTTGGACCGTGTGGCCTCCAGAGCTCTTCTGCAGTCGGAATTAATCCATGGTTCTATGCTTGCAGCCTCTGGGGAAGGACAGGAGTGCTAACGCCTTCTGTACAAGGGGAGAGCTATCACAGAGATGGACGAGATGCCTTTTCCCACAGCACAAGCGCATCAAAGGCAGCCTGAGTCCCAGCTCCCCAACCCTAAACACCCCTTCCCTCGACAACAGTTACCTTGACAAAGGTGAAGCTTAGGAACCCGCCGCTGAAGGTTATGTTCAGCTCCGACCGCACCGTCCCACAGCGGCCGGATGTCCGCGTCGCGCTGGGGTCGACAGCCATGTACTCCATGCGCCCCTGCAGAGAGAAGAGAGGCGGCGGGGCTGCTGATGACGAGGAGGGGGAAGGTTAACAACAGACACACAGAGACAGCCCAAAACATCCTATGATCCTATGATTTACAGCTGCCTGGTTTTGCTTTTCAGACAGGCTCCGTGGGGCGGGATGAGCAGGGCGGTGGCGGCGGCAGCCTCGCTGCTGGCGGCCAGGGTCACCCCCTGCTCGCAAACCAGCGCCAGCGCTTCCCCGGCGCAGCACCCAGCTGTCCCAGTGCACTAAGCTGGCAGAAAATAATCGTTTTCTGCTCATTTGGTGAACTGGTAAGATTCAGAGCGGGGTCAGATGGACACCAGTGGTGATTTTAGAAAGAGGGAACAGTGGGAGCTTGTGCCTGAAGGCAGAGGAAAGATGGAGACAGAGGCGGGCACCCGCCCGTAATGAGTCTCCCGTTCTGGGCAGCACAAACCACACTGAAGCCTGACCTGCCCTCCCACGTTCTGCTACCGCAGGCTGATCGCTGAAACAGGATGTGCCCATACGCCCCACTGATACCATCAGGACGCGCCCATACGCCCCACGGACACCATCAGGACGCGCCCGTACGCCCCACGGACACCATCCTGCAAGCCCAAGCTCAGCGGCCGAGACGCTGTGGCACAGCAACGCCCTTGCGCTGGGGGCAAACCACTCGTTTTTGTCAGCCAGGCCGAATTCTGAAAATTGCTTTGAGAGAAGAAGGACAAATCCCAGCTAACGAAGAAACAGTCATCACAAAGCTCAGCCTTGTAGTGCGTCCACCTCACCTGTGCATTTTGAGCCATCAGTTGCAAACCCATGACCGCCTTGATGCAGGTCCTGTTCCCATCGGAAACGGCGTATGCGCCCGTGGGGATGGGAGAAGGCCGCGGCGCAAGAGTGGGTCTCTCCGTCACCGTAGTAGATGGGCTGCTTGTTTGGGTCCCTGGACGGACGGTTGTTGTGCTGGTCGTGGCTGTTGGAGTTGTGAGTGCTGTTGTTTGATTTCCCGGCGCTGCGGTGGGCTGCACGGTTGGCGTGGTGCTGGCGGTAGCAGTGATGGCAGCAGCGGT